CTGCAAAGGTCATGCGTGTGAAAAATGGTCATCAGCACTTTTTTCACTTCCATTGTAACTTCACAAATGGTTATAAGTCAAGGGCTGCCTGTAGTTAAATCCCTAAAGAGTTTTTCCTTCACTTAATGCTCTGGGGAAATTCATGGGAGGCCACCGGTAGGCTCCCTTAAACATCTTATTGGAAACTTGGCTTTGTATTTTTAGTATCTAATTTATCATGTTTTCTCTCCAACTATCTGTCTGTCCCAGCCTCAATCTGATCCCGCCCATCTATTAATCAATGTCTATGCAGGACACAGGATCAAGAAGAGATCCCCTGCCGGGCTGACAGTGACGGGAAACCTTCTTGTATCAGTCTAAAGGAGGAAAGAGTATCACTGTACGCATTTTAATGAAATAAGTGACTTCAGCAAAAATTAGCATTTTTAAAACAAAATGGATCTAGTGGTCTCTTAAATCTTGGAGGATGCTTTTCCTTTGCTAAGTGTAAATGAAGTCAAAATTTATTCACATTTCTACCTGGGAAAAATGAAAAGGATGATTCTGTATTCCAGGCTCTATGGCAGTTCCCCTTAGGAAGAAAAGAGTTCATTGGCTACTATACTTTTTTTAGGGTTATTTTTAGCCTCTAGACTAGATGTTAAGCCTATCAGTGACCCCCCAAAACCGTCATGCTGAAATGTGTGTTGGTAGCTAGTCTGGTTTCTAGAAAGTGCAGGGCAGAGGGAAAGAGCAATCTCTTTATAAAAGGGAAGAAGATAAGAACAGTCATGGCATGTTAGCCTGACTTCGGAATCTATGAAGATAGAATAAGAAAACAATTAATTGCCAAGTGCCCAGAGGGAAATTAGGCGATTACAGGCTGCCAGCATGCTTTTATTAGAAACTAATTATGTTAGGCCAGTTTAGTTCCCTTCTTTGATAAAATAATTGGTTTGGTGGAAAAAAACATGTCAGATAAAGAGCAAAGCCTTCACGAACGCTTAGTCCCTCGTGAGGCCTTCCGCAGAGGCTCGCTTTAAGTAGGCCAGAAGAAGTGAGGCAACAGCTGTAAAACGGAGGCAACTTCAGCGAAAAGCAGTTCTTAGCCATAAAATAAAAGGTAAATATTCTCAAGGTTAGAGGCTAAAATTGCACCTTGCACTGTTATAGCTGATCGGTTCATGGCTGGTGGAAGACACCACAGTCGGTCAATCTTGTACTTACTCTTCATTAAGGCCTAGTTTACAAGCCAGTGGAGAAAATTACTGTGGTGTTGCAAATAATTATGGTTAGTTTACAACCTTGGCTACTTCCAAACCACTTAGTCTCATTACTGACTGGTAAACAAAAATAAATGCTAGCCTTTGATATGAAGGTGCACAGGGTGAGGTGGCTGCTGAATCCACAGGTGAGCAGCCTCAGGAGCTGCCTTTGATGGACTCAGCAAGTTCTTCTGTTCTTTAGCCAGGAATGCAGAACAGGTGCAAAAAAGGGCTTTATCTCTGGCCACTGCATATGGGATTTGCAAGACAGGGTTAAAAATGCAGGAAATTGTTAGTTGAACAACCAGCTGCAGGTTCTAGATCAGGAGTGTCAAACTGCCAGCCCGTGGGATGGTTGCATCACGTGGAGGCCGTGCCAGCCCCAGCTCCGGCAATGTGAAAAAAGTCGTGATACGTTGCGACACATCACGTGACACGGCGTGTTTGACACCTGTGTTCTAGATTATCAGTAAAAAGACCTGCCTCCTTCCTGGGTCATAGAGAGGCTGCTTGAAGAAAAATCAAAGTCATAACTTTCGTGTAATATGTTGGTTCTAAATGGGAAGTAGGTCCGTCCTCCCCAGGTGGGTAAAATGAGGAGCCAGATTGTTGGGGGCAAGAGGCTGACTCTGTAAACTGCTTAGAGAGGGCAGCTGGATTGGGTGCTTAGGTAGCCACTGGAAGCTGCTAGAGAGGGTCCATCCTTGCCCTCTTCCTACCCACCAGACCTTCCAAGCTTCACTGTCTTTTTGCCCTTTGGGGAAAAAGTCTCCACCCCCTCCTGTGACTCCAGATCAGGGGTTCTCAACCTTGGCAACTTTAAGACTTGTGGACTTCAACTCTCAGATTCTGGGAGTTGAAGTCCACAAGTCTTAAAGTTGCCAAGGTTGAGAACCTCTGCTCCAGATTGTATTCCACTACATCATCCCAGTTCCACTTTTCCTTTCCTTAACTACCTCCCATTTCCCACCTCTGTGCAACAGGTCAGGTTCACCCTGTGGATCTGCCTGATTTTTCTTGATTTTTGTATATCCTCATTATTCGAATTTGTTCTTGTCCTTGTCCAATTCAGAGGGTTGGATTTGATGGCTTAAATGTTCTGTTCTCCTCCCTGATTCTTGGCATATTTTCCTAATATAGAATAAGCTAAAATGAGAATCAAAAAGTACATTTTGCTGATATGCTCCAGAGTGATCTATGTGTTCCTGCTGTCTCCTGCCTGCATTGTTAATGCAGCTTTAAATTAGGACACAAATCCCTTCTCTGAACTTATTTCAGCATTAAACTCAACCGGTGACCTGGTTTTTGGTATCTGGCAGATGCAGAACCTAATCAAAGCTACCAGTTGGCACACATTCATAATTGCCTGTGACTGCAACTCGATTGTGGCTGTGCATTTTCTCCTTTCAGTTAAGGTCTGGAAATATATTACTTTCAAATATTTATGAATGGATGAACGATACTGTTTGCAAGTTGAAACAAAAGGAAATCTTATGCCGTAAACAGGCACCTGGAATAGATTTATCTTAGTACCGCTTTATAAGGTCTTAGTAAGACCAAACTTAGAATACTGCATCCAGTTTGGTCACCATATTATTAAAAAAGATGTTGAGTCTCTGGAAAGAGTGCAGAGAAGAGCAACAAAGATGATTAGGAGACTGGAGGCTTAAACATATAAAGAACAGTTGCTGGAATTGGGTATGTCTATAGGCCCTTCTTAACGATTGTGTCAAACTCATTGACAGGTTATTTCTACATATATTTGCGTGTCAATTTGCTCCATTTCCCCAATGTTAGCAAATATTTGGCCAAGGTATTCAACCCATCTACTTGCACTAATTTTTCACTTCTACTATATCACTTGCTGTTTTTTCCCCCAGCAACCAGTTAACAGAGTTGCCCCCTTTGCAGACTTTTAGTATTTTGATTACTTCTGCAGTTATCTCGTTGCAAAATACAGAGAAGTGCAAATATTAAACAATAATTAGATTTGCACAATTAGTTCAAGAATGAAGGGAAAATGTATTGAGATGCTAACTAAATTAATTTCTGCCTCATCCCTAGCAATGATCATCCTGAAATTACCATTTATTTAAACAGTGAGATCAATTAACTACATTGCCATTTTTTTAAAATGTTATTTGGGGGCTGAAGTTGGCTGTCTTAGGTAGAATACAGGGGAGATGTAGGATGTTATTTATTATACATTTTATGGAAATTATAATTGATGATGTTTTTTTTATTTCATAAGGCAATTTATTGTATTGTACAGTATATTTAACACATTTCAATGTGCAAGGAAGCTGCTTTGAAGTGGCAGGAAAGTGTTGTATTTAATAGCAAATGCAGTTTGTGACCAGCAAGTAGAAAAGTAAATATAAAGTAGAATAAAATACAAACATTATATACATAAAGAAAAAAAATAGTAAAAAAGAGGTAAAACTGTAGAATAAAAGACAACTGGTAAGAAGGTATAAGCAACATCAGAGTATAAATAATATTTTCCTTCTGAGTATTTTTTTTCTTCTGTTCAATCATGTCCAGTTCTCAGAGATTGCCTGACTAAATCAGTTTTCTTGCACTGACAATTTTTTTTCAGAAGTGGTTTGCCATTGCATCCTTCCTAGGACTGAGAAACGGCGACTGGTCCAAAGTCACCCAGCAGGCCTTGTGCTCAACATCAGACTAGAACTCACGATCTCCTGGTTTCCAGTCTGGTGCCTTAACTGCTAAGTCCTCTTTAACTGAGAGAAAAGTTAAGGTCTCCCCTGTCCGGTTGCGTCTGACTTTGGGGCGTGTTACTTATCTCCGTTCCTTAGCCAGCATTGTCTGAAGACATTTCTATGGTCATTTGGCCAGCATGACTATACGTTGAGATGCACAGAATGCTGTTTTCCTTCCCACCAGAGTGGTTCCTATTGATCTACTTGCATTTGAATGCTTTCAGACTGCTAGGTGGGCAGGAACGGGAACTCACCCTCTCAAGCAGTGCTGGGGTCTCAAACCCAGGCTGGCAGCTGACAAGCTTAGTGTCTTTAACCGCTGAGCCATTGCATCCCATTTAGCTAAGATAGCAGCCATGTTATCTGGGTAGTAAAAAGCCCCTATCAATAATGTTCAGACCCATCTCAATAGAGGGGCACCAAGCATCTCCTCAGGCCCGGGAGGCAGATGCTTATAAATAGGGGGTTGGACTAGAAGACCTCTAAGGCCCTTTCCAACTCTGTAATTCTGTTTCCCAGAATTTACACAGATTGGCATTTGGGAGTTTCCCAGCATAGATGTTTTCCATCCTGGCCTTTGGCAGGAAACATTAACGTGCTGGACAATATTTTGAAAACAGGAACACAGAACACGGGTCGCCCCTGCTCCCCTCTTGTACTTTGATGCGTGAGCATCTTTGCCAGACAGGGAGACTCTGTCGATGCTCCCTTTGGGTGCTTCTGTCCTCCTGGCTTTTCTCTCCGAACTGAGCTTCTTTTCTGCTGATGCCAGCAGGGCTGAATGGATTCCTCTGGGCAGCGGCCAAGTAGCATAAACCAAAGCCCTTGACCCAAGAGGCTCGCCTCGGTGAGAAAACTCAGAAAACCAAAGGAAAGACTGCTTGTGAATGAATTGGCATCGGTATCTCCCTTGGATACAGCCAGCCAACCAGCGAAGACGCCCAGGCATCCCAGAATATTTCCAACAGCTGGAGCAAACAGCCTTTTCTCCAGAAAATGAAGGTGGTAGAGGATGGGGGGCGGTGGGTGGGGTGACCTTTGGGCTAGAGTCAAAAAAGTCTTTCTTAGAAATGCCCTTAAGGCAGCCCCCATTTCAAGAAGACAAGCCTTCTCATCGACTCTAAAGGCGAACCTGGCGTCTCAGGGTGATAAGGCTGGACTAGAAGACCTCCAAGGTCCCTTCTAAGCCCTAGGGCCTTGTTTTTTGCCCCCATATTCGGGGAATTTAATTTTGATTCTGAAAGTTCAGGAGATACCCCTTCTGTCCTGCTACCTTGTTTCTGGAGAGCAGAAGGCGATCTCCATTTACTGTTCTCCCCACTGTGGTTCTTTTTCGCTCTCTCCTCTTTTAAAAGTTCCAGTGTTGATTTTCTAAATTAGTGGCACGTTACGATCTCTTTTCCCCTCCAGTCAAGTTTAATCTGTATTTTAAATGGATCGCTTAAAATGCTAATGTTTAATTTAAGCTCTGTGGCTGGTTAAGATTTATATGATACTAAAAGCGGAACAATCTCGGTTAATGCAGTGGCTGGAACGAGGGTGGCAGACTCCCGGTTTTGGCACCTCTTGAGAAAGGCAGCGAACCGGTGATCAAGGGAAGAAAGCGCTTAGGAGTACTTGGGTAATAACGGCGTGATAGATTGTACTCAACCTATTTTGTTAATTTAGGTTTGCTGCATCAGCCGCAATTGGGTGTGTCCAGTGCCACAAATCATGATTTCCAAAGACACCAGCCTATTTCTACTGGTGTCCCAACAAGTAGTTTTCTCCATGGATATCTACTTCCGGAACTAATCCTCCTTCCAAATATTTTCTTCCTACTGAACAAAAATGACTTGACAAATTTGGTGTCAAACAAATTGCCAGTTAAAAGTTTTAAGTTTCAAGCCTTGATTGCACACGAGCCAGCATGATTTGGGGGTTTGCACACTCAATGTGGGAGAAGTGCATTCAACATCTGATTAAAAAAAAAAAAAAACCAAGTGGCCAAATGGATTGCATTTTGGAAACATAATTCTAGCTCTGGTATCTATCGTGCTTCTGAAATTTGCAATTAGCTACAATTTTCAAGTCGCTCTTGTCAGCTGGAGGTTAAAATCTGGAGTAGTATTTTTCCATCATCTCATTTCACAATTTCGATCCCTGTTGAGAGAAAAATGCAGAAACATGTATTTCTGTGGTGAAATTAAAGCAGGAGGTTTTGCTAACTCTCCTGGCACAAGGCTGAGGTAATTTTGCTTGCCAAAAGCTTTGTGTGGTGGCTATTCTTGGTTTGTTTCGTTTGAATGCCTTATGGCAAACCACCTTTCAGTCACAATGGGAGAAACAAGGCCAACTCAGGCCAAACTTCTCTCACCCCACAAAACGTCTGGCCTGGAACCCCAAATGTAATCCTTAAGTTTGTTCTTGACTTGGCTGTGTTAACTTGAAGGCATTAGAATGGGAAAGTCGAGCTTTTGTTTATATTGGTTTATATTTAGTGATATTTACCCTATTAAGAATCAGCACGAATGCATTCGTAGAATATTTATTGAATCATGTAAAAACAACAACATTAAACCCAGATATTAACATAAATATTCTTGATGAAAAAATCCCATTTTTTAAAAAAAAAAAAAATCTGTCACAAGAAGAACAGCATTCCTTTTAAATCTTTGCAAACATCTTGAATATCTGGCAAATCATTTTGATTTTGCAAAGCCCTGAGAGGATTTTGGCAGAACACCAGGGATCTGTGGGCCATACTTTAAGAAACACTGAATCAATCAATCATCCATCCATCCATCCATCAATCAATCAATCAATCAGAATGGAGATGAAAGGAATCTTGGCAGTCTTCCAGTCCAGCCCCCTACTCAAGCAGGAGACCCTATACCATTCCATTTCCAGTGGCTGCCAGTCTCTTCTTAAAAACCTCCAGTCATGGAGCATCCACAGCTTCTGGGGATAGGTTGTTCCACTGGTTAATTGTCCTCACTGTTAGGAAGTTTCTCCTTAGTTCCAGGTTGCTTCTCTTCTTGACTAGTCTCCATCCATTGGTTCTTGTCTTACTTCTGGTGCTTTGGAAAATAAGTTGACCCCTTCTTCTTTGTGGCAGGCCTTCAAATACTGGAAGACTGCTATCATGTCCCCCCCAGTCCTTCTTTTCTTTAGACTGGCCATACCCAAGTCCTGCAACTGTTCTTCATATGCTTTTGTCTCCAGGCCTTTACTCATCTTAGTTGCTCTTCTCTGCACTTTTTCCAAAGTCTCAATGTCTTTTTTGTAGTGTGGTGACATTACAAAAAAACAGACAAAACCCTTCAGACAATATTTAATCCTTGATACTTGGATGGAAGGAAAGAAATCTCCTGCTTTGAGCAGGGGGTTGGACTAGAAGATCTCTAAGCTCCCTTCCAACCAATTATTCTATTTTCAATGTATTATTGCAGAGACTTCAGCTATGCCTCTGAGCATCAACTTGACTCTTAAATTAAATTTGCCTTGACAAATTGCACAATAACAAAGGGAAATTTTGTTCTGCATTTCCAGTGGTAGCACCCAGCTGGCATCTGCATCGTCCCTGGTTCTGAAACCGTTTGGCAACAATTTTTCCTTTAAAAAAAAAAAGGGGGGGGGAATGAAAGTAAAGGGATATCAATAAATATAAAATATGCATTTGTTGGAAACATGTTGAAAAATTAAGAGCAGAGTCAGCTTTGGCTTATCCTTCTGCGTCTTGCAAAGTAGGGGTGAATTGAGGTCACATCTTCTCTGACCAAAATTAATTTGGTTCTAGGTGGAGTTCAGCAGAATTACTAAGGATGGTGTCACACCCTTGGGCAAGCCAATTGTTTTTTAAATTAAAAGCCTCTTAAATAAAATTAAAAGATCCGCTGGATCCTTCCAGGGGCTCAGCTCCTATTGAGGAACAAGATGCCGTCACCATGTTATCGATCACAAACGGGCCCAAAATGCTGACTCTTTCCTCTTTCCAACACAATCCACATTTCCCCAACTATTTGGGGAACATATACCCAGTTATCAATGCTTGCTTTTTTTTTCTTTTTATAACTTTTTTGCACCATTTCCTTGCTCCTGAAAAATACAATGGTGCAAAAAAGTTATAAAAAGAAAAAAAGAAAGCAAGCATTGATAACTGGGTATGTCCATGTAGGAAAAGCTTAGATGGCTTTTTCCATTACCCCAAGATCGTAAAATGAATGCAAAGCAGATTCTTATTAAGCCATGGTTTGTTTTATCCTAGTTAACTGAATAAACCATCATTGGCTGGGCTCACACTGCCTGCTACCTTCAACTGAGCCCCTGGTGAAGCTTCAGTGGGACAGGTGGGCCCACCGGACCTCTGGGGAATGGGCCAGGTCCTTTTCCCACAAACGGAAACGGGGCCGAGGGAGGAAGTCTCCACCCCTGCTGGGCACAATCTTCTGCTTTCCCCCCACGTGTGTGTGTGCCCAACCCAGCAGAACTGATAGAAGCTGCTCCAAAGTCCACACGCGATTAGGCGTGTCAGGTTTTCTGCCAATGCCATTTGACAAGGGCAGTGCGGCTGGGGGAGCCCGCCCTGCAGAACACCCATCTCTGCTGGCTAACACGGGGGATATGCTTGCAGGGACGTGCACAGGGACCCCCAGCTTCCAGCCATCCCAGTGCAAACCAGCTCAGCCTTCTCACTCCTCCTGGCCTCTTGTGAGAGGCGTGAGAGACACCTAGAATTAAAGAGAAATTTCCTGACAGTGAGAACAATTAACCAATGGAACGGCTTGCCTCCAGCAGTTGTGGGTGCTCCATCCCTGGAGGTTTTCAAGAGACTGGACAGCCGTTTGTCCAGAAAATGGGAGAAGGTCTCCTGCTTGAGCAAGGGGCTGGATTGGAAGACCCCCAAGCTCCCTTCCAGCCCTATAATTCTAGGTTCAACGTAAGAGACAGCTGTGTGAACCTGTGTGTGAACCTACAACCGTGTCCCACGTGTGGGAATTTGCAAGCATTGTTGCTCTCCCCATGCAAGTACTGTGCAGCCCGCCATGGTGCCCCCTCCAGATATTTCTCAGATCCATTTCCTGGACAGTGGGACAGCTATTCTATGAATCATGGGAATTGTAGTCCCAGGGGTCTTGAGACACTTGGTCGGGGAAAGTGGTTCTCAGAAGGGGCCGTTTAGACAGACTGTCCACAAGCCTATTTGGACATCTGAGCCCAAACATCCTTGTCTCTGGCACCTGTTGGAATCCTCTCCTTCCCTCACCTGTTCCAGAGCTCAGTGTCACCCGACGGGCCGCTTGGCTGCAAATCTGGGCCTCTGGCTAGACCCTGAAAAGCCACATGGGCGCGCCATGCCCCAGTGGGATGCTTCATTCAGTGGGGTGGCTTCTTTGGGGCAGCCTTGTTTCATAGCCCAGCAGCTGCCACCCTTCTTGAACCACGGGAGCCAAAGTGTCCGGGGGGGGGGCATGCTCAGGCACCAGTCCCCACCAGGTGCTTTTTGTCCACCACATTGTGTGACAGGAGCAAAAGTCTGTACAGAAGTCAGGGCAAGTCACACAGTTTGGGCTTGCCATGCGCCACCTAGTCAGCTGGGTGGCCTGTGTGGGGGAAGTGACACCACAAACACATGTCTTCATGTTTTACAGGAATGGCGAAGGTTGTGCACACCCCCGTGGTGGCTGGATTCAAAACTGAGGATTGGTCAGCCTGGAGGCAGACTGGGAAGGAGACCGGACAGCACACTCAGCGAAAGCCCTGGCCTCCAGTTCCATTTCCGGTGGAGGGTGATGCTGCCGGGGATGATGGGAGTGTGATCCAACTTCAGGAGAGCAGCAGTTTGGGGCTGACTATGGGTACAGGTAATCCTTGACTTACAACTGTTCATTTAGTGACCGTTCAAAGTTTACAATGGCTCTGAAAAAAGTGGCCGATGACCATTTTTCACACTTACGACCGTTTGTTGCAGCATCCCAGGGTCACGTGATTTATATTGGGATGCTTGGCTCATATTTATGATGGTCACAGTGTGCGGGGAAGGGGGGGTCACGTGAACCCCTTTTGCCACCTTCTGACAAGCCAAGTCAGTGGGGGAAGCTGATTCACTGAACAGCCATGTTACTAACTTAACGACTGCAGGGTTTTGCTTAAGAAGTGTGGCAATAAAGGTCGTAAAACGGGGCAAAATTCACTTAACAACGGGAACGTTGGGCTCAATTGCGGCAGTAAGCCGAGGGCTACCAGTAGTTCTTTGCACGCTCAGAGGCAAGCTTCTTTCCTTAGCCCCTCCTTGCCCCGGAGGCAGAGCCGGGCCGGCCGGGGAGCTCGCTCGGGCCCGGCCCGGGAAGCCTTTCCTCCTGGCACGGCCGGGCGGGCGGGCATCGCCAGCTGCGTCAGACAAGCCGCCTCTGTTTCTCCGCCCGGCCCCGCGGGCAGAGCGCTCCCCCCCCCCCGCCGCCGCCGCCGAGAGCCCGCCCGGTGCCAGGCGGAGGCCGCCCCTCCTCGCCCTCCTCCCCGGCCGCCCCTCGCCAGCGCCGCCCCCTTTTTTCCGCGGTGGCCAATGAGGGCGGCGGGGCGGGGGCAGCGGGCTCCGGCTCCCCTTCCTCCTCCCAGGCGCCGCGGGGCGGGCGGGCGCGCGGGGGCTGCCTGGCTCTGGCTCGGCCCTGCTCGCTCGCTCGCTCGCTCGCTCGGCGGCGGCGGCCGGAGCAGGCAGGAAGGCGCCCAGCCAGCGGGCACTGCGGCCGCGCCAGGCGCGCGGCGGGCCGGGAAGATGAACTACCTGGTGAGTCCCTGCCGGGCCTGGGGGGAGGCCGAGCCGGGGAGGGAGCCGGGGAGCCTGGCCAGACGCCCCCCACCCGGCTGGCCGGCCCGACCCGAGCGGGACTGGCGCCAAGAGCGAGCTGGCCCGGGCGGGCTCCCCAGTCCTGCCGCCCGCCTACCTGCGGCCGCTGCCGGCCCTGCGGAAGGCGCGGGAGTCCCGGACGAGCCGGGCAAGCGGAGCGCTGCGACGTGGACGCCGGTCCGGAGCGTCGACTTGGGGGCCGGAGGCGGCCGCTCCGCGCCTTTCGCTTCTCTCGGGCCGCCGGGCGCCTCTCTCCACAGCCAGGCCGGTCTCGGTGAAGTGCGGGCCCGCCTCGAGGTCCGGTTGCCCCGACCGCTTGGCCGGCTGCCGGAGGGGGAGGAGGAGGCCGGGCCTGGGACGCGGCGGCGCGGGAAGGAGGCAGCTTTGCGCCGGCTGCTCGGGAGTGCTCCTCGGCCGGCCTGCCGGAGCTCTCTGAGGAAGCGGTGGGAGGCGAGGCCGGCCCGGTCTGGAACCACCGGCAGCCCCGGGGTTGCCAGGGGGAGCGGAGTTGCGGGTCCTCCTCTCCCAGAAAGTCCGGGGAGGGAAGCGGAGCGGCCGGGTCGGCCCTCCCGAGGCTGCATGAAGACGGACCGGGGCTGCTCCGGACGGCCCCGGCCCGTCTTCATGCCCCCTCCCCGCCTCCGGGGCTGCCGCTCCATCCGCCCTGGGTCAGATCTGGCCAGCAGAGGGGAAACCTTGCGGATCGGTCGCTTGGTCTGAACGGGGGTGCACGTAATGTGGAAGCCCCCCCTGCCCCCCCAGCTCCGGGTTCCAGCTCCCTTTGCTGTAAAGCGTTGCAGTCTTATGCACCCCCCCCCGCTCCCGTCTGCTTTGGGGGCCCGGATTCTGCTCCGGGGTCGCCTGTGCTGCTCGATAGGGACTCCCGGGGGAGCAACCCCTTCCTCCTCTTCCCCCCCCCCCAGTTTATGCTGAGAAATCATGCAAAGAATGGCACGGTGAGTCTCCAGCAGTTGTGCAGCGGTTCGCTCTGTGTGGCTGAAACGTTCGCACATTTCAGCCAGCCATAAAACGCTCAGCCCGGCTTTCCTGCAGAAGCCGCGCCGAGCCGGGGGACCCCCCCCACCTCACTTCCAGTCCTCCGCCGTGATTTATAACCCCGGCTTGATTCACTCAACAGCCTCTAAGCCCAAACCTAACAAACTTCATCCTGCCGTAGTGGGTGATTCATCGGCTTAGCTTGAATGTTCCACGTCTATTACGAGGAACGCAATCCGTTTTTGGAATTTACCTAGTGGGGTTGGGGTTGTGGGGGGGGGGGTAGAAGTTGCTGAATAACATTTCCTAGATTGGAGTCGATGGGGGATGGGAGGAATTTTCTTTCTGTCTATTCAGGGGGGGGGGTTGTGTGTGTGTGTGTGCTTTTTCTGCTCTGGTCTCTAGAATGCAGCATGAATCGCTTGCTTGAGTCCACGCAAGCTGTAATGGTGTGCTGGCCTTAGCTATGGTGTGTGTGTGTGTGTGTGTGGTTTTTTTTGTTTTGTTTTGTTTTTTTTGTTTTGCTGAGCCGCATCTGTTTGTGACTGGATGTGATTTGAGAAGTTAAAAGGCAGAGGGAATGCAAAGCTGGGTACCCCTGCTTCAGATGTGATCCCTGCAAGTACCTTGAATTATCTGGGATTTCCGTGGGCACTTAACGATCTGGGAGGTTTGGGGGCGGGGGTCTCCATGGTGCTTTGACCCTGGACAAAGCCAGATTGTTCAGTTGCAAATGCCACTTTTCCTGGCTGCCCTCTGCAAAATGTGTCACAGGAGCAGTTAGCACAAACCCTTGGCTTAATTTCCCTCTGATCTCAGGCATGCATGAATGGCCCCAGAACATGATGTTCAATTTTAAGCATCTCTCCAAAATGCAGTTAACCGAATAACCAAGTTGGAAGGGACCTTGGAGGTCCAACCCGCTGGTCAGGCAGGAAACCCTGTACCATTTCAGACAAATGGCTGTCCAGTCTCTGCTTAAAAACCTCCAGCGGTGGAGCACTCACAACCTCTGGAGGCAGGTTGTTCCACTGATTTAATTGTTCTAACTGCCAGGAAATTTCTCCTTAGTTCTAGGTTGCTTCTCTCCTTGAATAGTTTCCATTCCTTGCTTCTTGTTTTGCCTTCAGGTGCTTTGGGGAAAAGATTGTGGCAACCCCTGAGATACTGGAACACTGCTATCACATCACCCATCGTCCTTCTTTTCGTTTTGTTTCAGTTACCATATCCTAATTTTTTAACATGGTGGAAAAGGAAATTATTAAACTCAGGGAAGGCTTTTTTTCCAAATTGCATTTCATTAAAATCAATTTCCACCCAAATTCAGGCAGGTTTCATTGGTTTCTCTTTTTGTAGCCCTGCTCCCTTTTTGAAAGCTTACGTGTTTCAAGGCCGAGCAGGGCATCAGCTGGAAACTGTGTGTTCTCTCCTCTTTCAGCGCCAGTCCTGATAGGAGAAATTGAACACATGTGGGAGCCAGTGGGACTTTGAAGTAACAGTCGGCAGTGTTTTATGCTCCAGCACTTTGTGCTGACATCAGAGATGCTTGCAATATTTTCTAAATGCACAAGGGGTAACTCCGTTCAGATGAGTTATGGAAATTGGCAGGAAGCAGCTCCAGAGGAGAGCTGCAATCCCATCACTGGGCTGAAATCCCTAGATTTCCACTGGGATCCAATGTAACTAGCTTCTGTTCCCTATTGGAAACACTGCTGCTAAGCTGCAGAGGTCATAGAAAGCATGGCTGGCTGGGGAATTCTGGGAACTGAAGTCCACCCGTCTTAAACTTGCTGAGGCTTGGAAACACTGCTCTGCTAAGCTACAGAGGTCACAGAAAGCATGCTGGCTGGGGAATTCTGGGAGTTGAAGTCTGCGTATCTTCAAGTTGCTGAGGCTGAGAAACACTGCAATGCTAGAGAGGCAATCCCCAACCGATTCATTCTGAAGCAGGCCCTGCTGTTTTTCCTATACCCCGGCCAATACATGGTGGATGCCTGCCTTCTTAGCTGCCTAATCCACGGGCAGGCTGTCCCAAGCTGTCATGCTGTATATTTGCAGAAGGAAATGAATCCTCCGATTTGTGTGTTTGAAGAACGCTGCCTACGTCAGGACCGAAGGAAAGAGAGAGAGACTCCGCATCCGTTGGGCATTCTTACTTCTCTCTCTTGTGCCAGTTGCTGGCAAATGGCCAGCATTAAAGCTCAGCAATCCACTGTGGGTCATTTGATCTACGATGCTCGGAACTTTGGTGCCGGGCAGAGATAAAAAAATGGTGAGCCTTGAATTGAGAAAGACATCTGATGGAATCCAACTTATAACCGTTCGTTTAGCGACTCTTCAGAGTTACAGCAGCGCTGAAAATAGGGACTTGTGATCCTTGCAGCATCTCCCACAATTACATGATCCAGATTTGGAGCCATGGTAACCAGCAACCAATCTACCGCGGTTGCAACATCCCAGGGTCAAGGTCATTGCCGGCCAGTTTCCAACAAGCAAAGTCAAACGGGGGAGCTGGATGTACTCAACGACTGTGTGATTCACTTAACGTCTGCAGGAGTTTGCAAGCATCTGGATATTGATCACATGACCACAGGGATGCTGCAACGGTCGTAAGTGTGAAAAACAGTCATAAGTTGCTCAGTGCCTTTGTACCTTGGAATGGTCACTAACTGAACTGTTGTAAGTCAGGGACGACCTGTACAGGAATTAATCTGCCTCAGGAACAACATCATAATCCTCGGGAGAGGAAAGGCTATTGGTGGATTAAAATATAAATACATTCTTACTTTAGGTATATTGGAAGCTGCTGATATTTACCCAGGTTTGATTGTTTTCTCTTTTCTTCGAAGCCCCCCCTCCCCGGAAGTGTCGCTTCTGAACTGAAAAGTGGCATTTTAGTGTGAATCTCAAGCCTCGCTCAGACTTTCCCCTCGCCCTCCCCTTGGCGTTTCCAGTCTGAAGCAGGCAGCCTTAAACGAAAGGATTACAAAGCTCTCCCCCTTAACCTGAGATTATTTGTCACAA